TATCTTGCTTCTTCCCTATGATCAAATATTAATCAAATGCATGTTTGCTTTATATTTGCTCAGCTGAAGACTTATTGTTTGAAAAGCTTTGTGATGTTTTCTAATCATGTATGACTTTATAAATATGTTGCTAGATCTTAAGAGGTTGAAAAATATGATTTGGACAATTTCAAATACTTGTCATTAAAGTTAAGATGTCACGTAATTTTGTCAAATCAAAAGATTAGATATCTTAATGCTAAAAACCTGAATGAAAGCAAACACCAATTAAGAAATTGAAAAAAAAAAAAGTTGAAAAAAAAAGCCAAAAAAGAAAGGAAATTGGGCAACAATGAAGGAATAACAAAAAGTGAAAGGAAAAGACCAAATTAATTTTGGAACATATCAAAAAGCCAAAAATACCTCAAAATAAAAAAGGCTGTCACTGTTAAAAAACCAAAAAAGGCCTTAAATTCTAACAAACACTCAAAATGCTAGGAAAAAATCTACTGACATCAAAGTATTGGAAATGATGAAGAAATCCTCAAAATTTTATAAAAACCCAAATACGCCATGAAGAGGAAACATCAACTGCAAACATGAAATCTCAACAATAGAACCCTTCTTTTCAAAATACCATGCGTGTCCCAAGTGGAGAAGAAAGCCAACCGTAGAACCACTCGGATGCCAATCAAAAGAGCCAAGATGCAAGAGCACCAAATCTAGTCTGAGACAGTTTCTTCCACCTCAATTGCACGCCATATGGCAAACAATTAAGATTACTAGATGGCATAAAATTGAATCCTTTTAGAGATAGTTTTAATATATAAGTATAGATGTTGAGATATATTCTCATATTCTAATGTTATGTGATACACTTATGTCCGGCATGTGTACGAAGCTTGCTTGGGTCTAATGGGTTTTACCTAGTTAGGTCCTTACACTAGTCAAGGCCTGAGGTTGGCTTATGACAAAATGATTTTTAATACAAGATTTGTCCAACTATTATTCACTTTTTGATAAGAAAACAACAAACATTGATTAAACTTTTTCCCAAAATAGAAAAGTAGTTTCTTACCATTTTTTTTGGGATAATGCTCAAATAAACTCTTAAACTATTCAGAAAAATTTAAATAAGCCTTTATTTCTTTGTTACGTTTAATTAAACCTTTGTACTTTTATTTTAGGTCAAATAAGTCAATATGGCTGATGATTGATTAATTGCCATTAATCAAAATATCATTTATCATTTTATATATACATGACACTGATAGATATTGTTGTGGAAGGTAAAAAATGCCACATGATCATATTATCATGTCAAATTAATATGTCATGTCATCATCATCAATTATAATATATTAGCATACCATATCACTACTACAACAACAACATAGAATAAAAAATGACATTTTGACTAAGTCAATCATTAGTTATAAAAACTTATTTAACTCAAAATAAAAATATAAACACCCTTTTGAATTTTTTTGAATAATTTAGAGGCTTTTTTTTGGATATTATGCAATTTTTAAAAATAGTTTGAGACCAAAACTACATTATCTAAACCCTCTTTTTTGGCCTTCTTCATTTTGATATCTTTCCTTCATTGGAAAGTAAGGAATTATGGTGTGGAGGATTTTGGGGATTTCTGTGAAAAGGAATAAGTGTTGTTGTTGGCTAAATGTTGTCACCAAAAATCAAATAAATTATAAAAATTACATAATCAAAACAAAAAACAGATTAACATAAACAAAAAGTGATTGAAAATATTCAAACAAAAATAAAACCAAACATATTGTACCTTTATTATACAATGTTTACTATAATAAATCTTGATAAATTACATATAAAATAAACATTTTCATTTCACAAGTAAACCATTTAATACAATTGTTTTTTGTAACGGCAACAATTTTTCATGTTTATAAATATTTATGTACACTAAATGACAATTCAAATGATGCACACTAAACATAACTTTTATCCACTATTTTTTGTACAATAACATAAAAAAACAAAATACCAAAAAAATCTTTCATTAAATTTTTTTTCAAATATAACATATATATGAAATCAACATTATTATTTAAGAAAATTAAATTTCAAAACAAAATTAAACAAAAAAAAAGAAATTAATACTTAACCTTACATCTTTGCTTAACTATTATTATCAATCCTCTTTGAAGAAATACTAACATAAACAAAATAAAAAATTACTTAGGCCTTGTTTGTTAACGCAAATGTTTGTTATTTCTTTGTTTTTATTTGCAGAATTATGAAATCACTAACAAAAAATTTATTTAGAAATCCTATTTTTGTTTTTTCTATTTTGAAAATATTTTTGAAATTTGTAAAAAAAATTCAAAAAAAGAAAAAAACATGTTGAACCACCTTATCCTTAGTTAGACTAATACCAAACCACCTCTCTCTCCTTTTTTTTTTTTCTTTGTTTCTCTCTCTTTTCCAATGACCACACCCTAAATCTTTTTTTATTTTGTTGTCTAGTTCGTTTGCTTTTCCACCTTAGGAGAATTTCTTCAAATCTAATCCACCTCCGGCGAGTTTCTTTTTTCTTTTTGACTTTCTTTTATCTTTTCGAATTTGATTTATTATTTTTGGAGACGTTGGGCGTCTAGATAGAACAATGCTTCTTCTTTTTTCATGTTATTTTCTCCATGAGTTATGATAGTCTAGACAATATAAGAGTTTGAGACAACCATCCTTTGATGCAGGGGCGGCTCAATAGCTTTGAAGGCCTAAAATGATTAAATATTTAAATGAGGTCCTTAGTAAGTAAAAAAAAATTAAATGTGGCCCTTTTTTTTGAAATTAAAGAAAATTACTGTTAGTTGAAGATCATTAAAAGCATATTACATTCATTAAAAATAGAAAAAATAATTGAGAATTATTAGCATTATGGGAATTGAGAAGTCATAAAAAATAGAAATTTATTAGGCATATAATTGAGAAAGTGAGAGAATATGTGATTTTACTAACTATTTTGACTTTCACATAAATGAGAAAGTGAGATAAATAGTTAAAAATTAATAAAAGGCAGAAAGTGAAAAAAAATAACTATTTAATAGACACTTCATTTAAGAAATATTTTATTAATTATTTTAATTTTTATATATATTTAATATAATTAATTATATTATATAAAATTATGAGGCTTATAAAATTGTGAAGCCTAAAGCAAAGGCTTTGTTGGCTTTATGCTAAAGCTAGCCTTGCTTTGATACCTATGTATGAATTCTTTGATACCTCAAAATGCACCTGAACAAGCAATTTGGTTGAGAGAAGTTTCAAACTTTGTTGGATAAGTTGGGCATTTTTAATTTTTATACTCCAACTTGAAAGTCATAAAAGAGAATTAACTTAGAATATGGGTCATGCACGTAAAGAGCCATATGCTCACGACTCGCACAGAGAGATGCGCATAGAATAGTCCACATGAAAGGGTTCCTAGTTGTTAAGAAAAGTAATAGGCAGTAAATTATTTAAAGTAATTAGATACTTTTCAAATTTAAGTTTTTTTTACTTATTGATTAATTTGCTTACATAATAAATAAGTTTAATTTTTAAATATTATTTTATATTGTTTACTTTACTCGCATTCTAAAAAAATAGCTTTACTTGCATAATAAGTAAATCTAGTTTTTAAGATATTTATTTTTATATTATTTATTTTACTTGTATTTTTAAAAAGTTTAAGATTAGAATATATTTTCATTTAATTTTATTTAGGTTTCAAGTAAATTCAAGAGAAATTATCTGTATAAATAATTCTTTTATATTTTATTTATTTATAATCTTCAATAATATTATGAAAAGTCAATAACCCGCCGTTGAGTGCAGGCAACAACCTAGAAATTTAATAGAGGATCAAATCCGTACATGAATGGAGCTAGAGTATAAGAGTTAGGATTACAAAAAGCAGAGAGCGAAGTGCGGAGGGACGAAGCTGTCAAGCAAGAAGGGCATAGTGCGGGAGAGAGGGGAAGATGGAGAGTGGAGAAGGACACGTGGCAAAGAGAGTATGGGGGGAAGGAGCCACATAAGGAGCCAGGTAGGCAAAGAAGAGTAAGAAAGTAGGGATGGAGTGTCATTTTCGGGCACCTAACACTGCTTTTTATATTACAATCGTCATGGTACAGCCTTTTGATTTGTTAAGTAGCTTTTTGGTATTGTTAATGTTAAGAAAAGGCTCGGGTTGGGTTGGGGGCCTTTGCTTCGCCTTAGGGTTTGTTATTATTACTAATATTTATTTATTATTTGGTTATTTGGGCGTTTTTTTTCTGTGCGTTTCACATGAATATATATAAAAGGTAGCGAAGCGACTGTCCAGTTCGTCTTTTTCTCTGCCCCAAAAGGAGGATACTGGAGAGTGGAGTGAGTGGTAGTCGTACGGCCCTTTCCTCTCCTTTATTTTATTTCATTTCGGTTTTTTATTAAAATATTTGCAATAATATACATTTTTAGACGATTAAGCGGTTTTCCGACGGCGGTTTTCAGGTGAAACTTGTACGCCTTTTTGCTTAGCTTTCCCTTGTTCACGGATCTGCTTTCTCTGGCTTTGTTTATGTAGCTTTTCTCTTGGTTTTTCTGCGGATCTTTCTTTTGCTGGCTTATATTTTCTCTGCTACGTCTTAGATCTTCGGTATCTGCTTTAGCTCATTAGGTTTTCAAGCGATCTGGACAATTTTTCATGCTTTTATTCCTATCTATGTTAGGGTTTCGATTACTCTGTTTCTCGGTTTTTTATGCTATGTTAGCGTTGTTGATGCTAGGGCTTCCAATTTTCTTCCTCTGATTTTATATGTGTATTTGTTTTGTTCCGCTCTGCAAAGTAGAATTGCTCAATGTTTTATTTAAGTTTTATTATTTTGTTGGTGACCGCTTTTTTCAAGTTTCTTTGGAGGAGCAAGACCTTTTTAGTTTTGATTGAAAACGCTAGCTGCCTACTTTTTTAATGATATGAATCTCCTTGTTGTTTTGCTATCCTGGTACGATTTACCATCATGGTTAGGAAGAAGAAATCCGATGCCCCTTCTGCTGGAGGTGAAAGTTCTCAGTCCCAGATACTGGTGTTGCAGCGGTCGTGGTCTACCACGTCATCCTCAACACAGGGAGGAGGTGGAGGAAGCTACCAAGGTGGAAGAGGTTGGGTTCCTCAGTCCCAGCAAGCAGGTCGGGGAGCTTATGGTGGTGGTGGTCGGGTCGTGGCATGTCCCAACAGCAGTATGCTGGAGAACCCCAGAATACCAAGGTAGGGGAAGGAGGGCCTTCCCAGCAAGGAGGTCGAGGGGGATATGTAGCGGTCGAGGTGGTGGAAGCCGTGGAGGAGGATCTTTCCCCGGTGGATCATCCCGACCACCTGTACCCGAGCTGCACCAAGCAACCCTATCTTTTAAAGCTGCTGTGACCCCCAGCCTGCACCATCTGAGGCAGGTTCATCATCCAGGCCACATGATCAAGCGCCCTGGTACAGCAAGTTCAGCAGCTGTCCATCCAGCAAGAAGCCAGCCAAGCAGTTCAGCCAGTCCTCCCTCAAGCAAATCAGTGAGGTTTCCTCTTCGGCCTGGAAAGGGTTGCACTGGCATTAAGTGTATAGTCAAGGCTAATCATTTCTTTGCTGAACTTCCAGATAAAGATTTGCACCGTATGATGTAAGTTCTTTCTTTGTCTGTGTTCTCTGTGTTGGTTTTTGCCTTTATTTTCAGGATTTTGATTGCTATTGTGAATGGAAATAGGTTACTATAACACCCGAGGTTACATCACGAGGGGTGAACCGGGCTGTGATGGGACAACTGGTGAAATTATACAGAGAATCACATCTTGGAAAGCGCCTTCCTGCTTATGATGGCCGAAAGAGTCTTTACACTGCTGGACCTCTTCCTTTTGTGTCAAAGGAGTTTAAGATTACTCTTATTGATGAAGATGATGGGTCAGGAGTTCCAAGGTTGTTCATTACCTTCATGTTTTCTTTCAACATTCTTATCACAGATTTATATATTTGTTGTTATGTAAGCTCCATTTGTTCTCTAGAAATTTTTAAAAAAAAGGAAAGATAAAAGATAATACTTTAGCAATTGTTTTATATGCGTTTTCACCTGAGTCATGGGATCAGAGGTTAGAAGTGTGAAAAGTTATGGTTTTGAAATTGTAAATTTTGCTTTTTCCATGATTCAGAAAGAATAACTTCTTCAATGTTGACTGAGTGACTAATACTTAATTTTCCTCTTCAATTTTATTGATGCAGAAGGATAGTATGAAAAGAAAAAGTTCTAATGAAATGGGGCTTTGACCCTTTCTTTCTTTCTTCTATATTCCGTCTCTTATCATATTCTTGGTGCAGAAGAGAGCGTGAATTTAGAGTCGTGATCAAATTGGCTGCACGTGCTGATCTGCACCATCTTGGACTCTTTTTGCAAGGGAAGCAAGCTGATGCACCTCAGGAAGCCCTTCAGGTTCTTGACATTGTTCTTCGTGAATTGCCTACTACTAGGTACTGGTATTCGGTTCTTCCCTTGGTATATATGTTTATCACACTGCTTGAGCTTTCCAAATTTGATATTTGCAAGACTAAAGGTAATTGATGATAGGTACTGTCCTGTTGGCCGTTCATTTTACTCCCCTGATCTAGGAAGAAGGCAGCCTTTAGGTGAGGGGCTAGAAAGTTGGCGTGGTTTCTACCAAAGCATTCGTCCAACACAGATGGGACTGTCACTGAATATTGGTACTTTATTGATGATGCTAACATTTTTCTTGTATTGGTCCATTTTGCATGCCTTAGGTGGTTCAGTCCATTCATTTGTGGTTGTGCCTGCATTTGATCTCTCTGCCTCAGTTTAACATTGTCTTATGGTGACAATTTCTTGTGCTATAGATATGTCTTCAACTGCTTTCATTGAGCCATTGCCAGTCATTGATTTTGTAACACAATTGCTAAATCGGGATGTTTCTTCGAGACCACTATCTGATGCTGATCGTGTAAAGGTAATTTTTCTTAATTTTCTGTTGGTTGGAAATTATAATTTACCAATCAAATTTGTACTTTGTTACCTTTTATTTTATTATCTCTCTTCTTATTGAAAATCAGCTAATTTGTAACATCTATTATTAGGAAATGAGCACTTTGCTTTTTGTGTCTGCAGATAAAGTCTGCTATGGAATTATATGCGCTTGTTTTCTATTATTTTAGCTGTTCTTTTTCGTGTCGTAACTCAACTTTTTTCCCTATATATTTTGTATTCAGTGAAGGTTACATGTAGTAATTTATGTCATATTGTATTTTCTTTTGTATAAATAGATCAAAAAGGCTCTTAGAGGAGTCAAGGTGGAAGTTACACATCGTGGAAACATGCGAAGAAAATATCGTATATCTGGTTTAACATCTCAAGCAACTAGAGAGCTGACGTGAGTATTACTGTTATCTGTGATGTGATATCTCTTTGTGAAGTTCTCTTTCCTCTTAATATCAATCTTCATTATTTGGATGTGCGAAATATTGGTTTTACTTAAAATATGGAGAAAAATTGTTTCATTTGTTTTGAGTGAATAAATCATCTTCTAAAAACCAGAAGAGCTAAGAAAAATTCTTAAAATGTTACTGAAGAGAAACTGTCATCCATCTTTCTGCTTTTTGAACTTAGGCCAATAATATAGGGCACATGATGTATGTGTTAGGTTTCCTGGTTACATTGTGATGTGGCATGAATCTTACTTCTCTAACACACTTTATTGGTTCCCAAGTTTCCCTGTAGATGAAAGAGGTACAATGAAATCTGTTGTGGAGTACTTTTATGAAACTTATGGTTTCATCATTCAACACACTCAATGGCCATGTCTACAAGTGGGAAACCAGCAGAGGCCAAATTATTTGCCTATGGAGGTAAAGTACATTGTATAGTTGTTCGAAGAGTTAATTGATCTATGAATGTGCATGCTAATAAGTGGTGATTCACATAGGTATGCAAGATTGTGGAGGGTCAGAGGTACTCCAAGAGATTGAATGAGAGACAGATCACTGCTTTGCTGAAGGTTACCTGCCAGCGCCCACAGGAAAGAGAGTATGATATTATGAAGGTGTGATATTTTTGTCTTTTCTTATTCACATGAGTCTCATTTTTTAAATAGATACAATTTCTAGAATATTTTGTTTCTTTTGATGAGTTGCTATTTGATTTTGTTTTCTTCTCTACTTTTTGTCTCTAAGCTATATAAAATGTTTCTCTTTTCTTTTTTCTTCTTTATCTGATGTTTGCATGTGAGCCACTGGCATTTTAAAGATGGTGTTAATTATGCATTCCAACATGCTGTATCTAGGTAATTATATATTAAATGAAGACTGATTTGGTATCTAACCATAAAGAACCTTTGAATCTAAACGTCTGTTGTGGTTTTTGGCTGTGAACTCTTTAAATTAAGACAAAATTGTCTGATGAGTTGCTGGTTTGTTAATTTTAAACTAATTTATTGTATTGCATCTATAGACGGTACACCACAATGCTTATCATGACGACCCCTATGCAAAAGAATTTGGAATTAAAATCAGTGAGAAGCTTGCTTCAGTTGAAGCACGCATTCTTCCCCCACCATGGGTAAGTTTTCAATTATCTATTATTTTTCTTGCAATTTTTGATTCCTTTCAGATTTTGATTTTGTTGTTGTAATATCTGTTTTGCTTGTAGCTTAAATATCATGATACAGGTAGAGAGAAGGATTGCCTGCCTCAAGTTGGGCAATGGAATATGATGAATAAGGTATCTCTTGCTGTCAATATTGTTTTAATGCTAGAGCATACATTGTGTAGTGTTGAGAGGGTTTATGCAGTATATCTGTACCTGTGGTCTCATTGTGTATTTGGTCTTAATCAAAGTAGTATCATGCACACCTAATATGTGGGTGGAATAGATAACTAATTTGATTATTTAGATAAATATTTAAACAAAAAATAAAATAGTTTGTAGTTTAGCAGTAAATGTAAAAGAGAAGAGAAGTTAGAATAATTGCATGTACAGATTTTTAGAATACAGAAAACGTAGGAACAAAAGTGGGGTTAGAAATATGGATCCTACTTTCGAGGGAAAGTAAATAACTAATATGGCCACATTGTTACATATTTTTCATTTTATATTTTTTTTTGTCAATTTTACTGAATTGGTGTTACTTGATTGTGATAGCAAGCTTAATGAGGAGCTTTAATAATGGTATAGGTTATCATTTAAAACTTTGCGTTTTGGTTTCTCTGACTAATTGGTTATTTAAGTAAGAAAAGTTAAGAGATATGGTTGTCAATGCCAGAATTGAAGGGTGAATTTGTTGAGGAGATATGCGGTGAACATTGTTTGGATTTTAAGTAAGAGAACATTTTCACTGTAAACAATATAACTGTCTAACTTTACACAGTAATTTTACAACATATTTCTAGAAGAAAAGGAGAAAAAGTAAGAGTATTTTTTTGTTGTGCCAAGTATTCTTGAACAATGAAGCTAACTAGATTTGTTAATTTTTAGGCTTTTAAACCTTTAAAATTTGAACTTCCAAAGTTAGTTGAAAGAGATGAGCTTGGGGACTGACTCACACCAAATATGACTATTTTGATGTTGGGTTGGTAAATCAGGGATGGGTTTAGAGTAATCCAGGAGCCATTGAGCCCAATTCAGAAGCCTGCCCTAAACTTTGTAATTTATAATTAATGGCTTTACACTGAATGTAATATATCAAGGTGTCAGCTCTATTTTCGTGTCTATCCTAGTTGAGTGTTTGTTCACAATCTATTGCCATGAACATGTTGATTTCCTCGACAATCCACGTAAATGATTGCTTTGTTTCATATGCACACGCATTTGCATGCATGGAGTTTATTCTTCAACATGGAATGGTTGAATGTGAAAATTTTCATGATACATTTTCTGATTTCTAATTATTTTGTTGTAGAAAATGGTTAATGGAGGGACTGTTAACAACTGGATCTGCATAAATTTTTCTCGGCAAGTCCAAGATAGTGTAGCCCGAGGGTTTTGTTATGAACTTGCACAAATGTGTTATATCTCTGGCATGGTAAGGAGGTTCCAGTAATCTGACATAAGTTTGTCATTTTGATCCTAGTTTGGTTATTGTTGAACAGTTTTTTGTAAAGGATTTCTGTGAACATTGATATTTGTATCATTTGCAGGCTTTTACTCCTGAACCAGTGCTTCCTCCAATCAGTGCACGTCCTGAGCAGGTGGAGAAGGTCTTGAAAACTCGATATCATGATGCCATGACTAAACTCCAGCCCCAGAACAAAGAGCTTGACCTGCTTATTGTTATTCTGCCAGATAATAATGGCTCTCTCTACGGTATAAAATTTGGCATCTGAAAACTTATTTTTCCATATTTATTTTGTGGTGTATTAATTTTTATTTCTTGCCTCTTAAGAAAAAAAGTTTATACCATTCTTTGAAATGTTCTATTTTTCTTGCAGGTGATTTGAAACGGATTTGTGAAACAGATCTTGGAATTGTTTCTCAGTGCTGCCTTACTAAACATGTATTTAAAATGAGTAAACAATATTTGGCCAATGTGGCATTGAAGATTAATGTCAAGGTTGGAGGAAGGAATACGGTTCTTGTTGATGCAATATCACGAAGAATTCCTCTAGTTAGTGACCGGCCAACTATAATTTTTGGTGCTGATGTTACCCATCCTCACCCTGGGGAGGATTCAAGCCCCTCTATTGCAGCTGTATGTTTTTCAATACATCGCTCTCTTTCTGCATTTGGATGTTTGCATATCATGGTCAACATAATTTGCTGGTGGTTGAAATTTTAACAATTAATTCATATTTAATTAAAAATTCAGGTTGTTGCCTCCCAAGATTGGCCTGAGGTTACAAAATATGCCGGCCTGGTTTGTGCTCAAGCTCATCGCCAGGAGCTCATTCAAGATTTATACAAGACATGGCAGGATCCTGTAAGGGGGACTGTGTCTGGTGGCATGATTAAGTATGGTTTTCTTCTTGTGTCTTAGTTAGAACTGCATTTAACATTGGTAGCTATTTAGTTTAGCTTGTCTGAAATCATTTTTTGTTGTCCGTAATGCAGGGAGCTCCTGATATCTTTCCGAAGAGCCACTGGACAGAAGCCACAGCGCATCATTTTCTACAGGCATTTCAAGCTGCTGTCTGTTTTTTCTTTATTTTTTTAGACTTAGTTTTAATGATTTATTTTTTATTTTCTATATGCAGGGATGGTGTCAGTGAGGGCCAGTTTTATCAAGTCTTGCTGTATGAACTTGATGCTATTCGTAAGGTAAGGTTGCTGTGCTGACTACATACTAGTGGTGATTTGTACATCAGTTTCTAGCCTTAATGCTCTGCATGTAATCCGCTTTTCATTTACCTTTTGCTTATTTAACCTCAGGCATGTGCCTCCTTGGAGCCAAACTATCAGCCTCCTGTTACTTTTGTTGTGGTACAAAAGCGACATCACACAAGGTTGTTTGCTAATAACCATAATAACCGCAATGATGTTGACAAGAGTGGAAATATTTTACCTGGTAAGTACTAATTCATGCATATGATTTACTATGATTTCGCTATAACATCAGGATCTTAGAATTCTACCTGTATGTTGTTTCCAGGCACTGTTGTGGACTCCAAAATCTGTCATCCAACGGAGTTTGACTTCTACTTATGCAGCCATGCTGGGATTCAGGTCATACTTGATTTGCTTCTACCTTCTATGCTAGAATGCTGGTCTTTGTATTTTGATAGATTTGATAGATTGAGTTTGGAGTTTATGTTTCTAATATTTTCACCAAGTTGGTATGCAGGGTACAAGCCGTCCAGCACATTACCATGTGCTGTGGGATGAGAACAAGTTCACAGCTGATGCATTGCAGTCACTCACAAACAACCTTTGCTATACGTATGTTCTTGCCTTGATCTTAATGCATTCAGTTTTTATATTGCCACTTTTGCTCAGATGAGTGGTGCTCCTCTTATATAAAGACATAAGTATTTGATGTCACATTTGATAAACTTGAATACTTATTTTTTATGTATATTTCTAAACAATAAATTTGTATATATAAATGCTAATGTTTCTGAAATATATTGTCTGAAGTATAAATAAATAACACTCATCAAAAAGTGATGATAAATTAATTATTTTCATCATTTTGAATAAATTACTATTATATTTGAATTATAACTCTTTTTCTTATCTGTAATATAAATTCTATTATTGATTAACGGTTATAATTAAATTTATAGTGGAACAAAAATTAGTCATATAAAATGACAGTTTAGAGTTATAATCAATGAGGATGTCTTTTTTTGTCTGAAAAGTTTTAAGCATTGGAATGAGCATTTTTTTAAGCGAAAACTATCTATCTCCCAAGATGAAGACAGTAATATGGGTGGGTATCTCTTAACTTTTCCAACGTTTTGCAGATATGCAAGGTGCACGCGATCTGTGTCAATTGGTTAGTTCTCTTTACTTGTGTCTTTTAACCCAACTACAAATGTGTGCTTGAGTGTCAGCTATTTTCTGTATCACACACCACCTGTGTTTTTGCTCTTATTGTGATTAACAATCTTGGCACTAATGAACTTGCAGTTCCCCCTGCATATTATGCACACCTTGCTGCATTCCGAGCTCGTTTTTATATGGAACCGGAGACTTCAGACAGTGGATCGATGACAAGTGGGACAGCTGCTGGGCGCGGAGGTATGGGGGGTGCACGAAGCACTAGAGGACCTGGTGCTAGTGCTGCTGTGAGACCTCTGCCTGCCTTGAAAGAAAATGTCAAGCGGGTTATGTTTTACTGCTAGGGGGTGCTCCTGAACCATATATTTTAAATCTAGTATTTTGAACAGTTCCTACAGTGTGTGGTTTTGCTTTGGAGTATAGGACTAAAACTATCCTTTGTCAGAACCTTTAAGCTTTTATTGTGTTGTACGATGTTGACTGGTGAACTATGCTAAGTACTGATCAGTTATCCATTAATTATGTCTTACCCCAGTCATGAGCCTTGACTTTGCTCTGGTACAAATAGCTAATCAGTTATGCGGTTATGAAATTGACCCTCTTCAACCAAGTTCCCTCTCTCTGAGGTGGAATGGTTGAAACAGAGAATAGAGTTGGCATAGTTGACTGACTAGGATTCTAAAGATTAGTTCGTATGAGTTGATGTGTATCTCCATTAGCAAAATGCTGGCATGTCAGACATGTAAACTCTTGTTTGTTTTCGCTGGCTTAAACAGGAAAAACCAGAATAAAATAAATAAAACTCCAACCAGAAGCACGCACAAACGTTAGTTCTAATCATATTTTGTTTGTTCCTAACGCGTGGTTTGATTGTTTTATGCTTTCGTAATGTGTTGGGGATATTGTTTTATAGTGTTTAGCCTAATATTAATTTATCTGGTATTTATTTTTAATTATCCTATGCTTATCATCTGTTTTGATTGTGAATTACATGATCGGTATTGGGGATGTGTTTGGGATATAAATAAAATAATAATTAAAATATAGAAAAGATAATATTACGGAGTTTGGTTTATAATAATTTGTTTTTTAAAATTATTTTTAATTATTAAATTTTAATTTTAATATATTTATATTTTTTATTATTAATTTTTATATAATATTATTTTTTAAATATATTTTTAATATCATATATTTTATTTTTATTTATTATTATAATTTTTTATATTTTATTTTTAATATATTTATATTTTTTATTATTAATTTTTATATAATATCATATCTTAAATATATTTTTAATGTCATATATTTTATTTTTATTTATTATTATAATTTTATATATTTTATTTTAATTTATTTTAATTATATTATATAAATTTTAATTTTTTATATTTTATTTTATTTTAATTTTTGATTTTTATATTATATATTTTATTTTAATTATAATATTATAAAATATTTTTAATAAGGTAATAAAGTTAAATAATTAAATTGTCTTTAAGAATATTGCAGAATACAAATGTAATGTGATTGCATTGCAATCTTACATTACAGTAGTCTGTTACAAAACAAATACTGTAATGTAATTTAATTGGACACATTGTAAGAAATGTGCTTACACTTATTTCGTACCAAACATCACCTTAATTCTATGTTCTTACGTATCCTTATGCATATTTGGCTACTGTTTGATACAAGTCTCATGGGCTGGTGCTATTTACTTGGTTTTCTCATTATTTGTTGTTGGTCAAGTTTTATCTTTTGCTTTCTTCAAAAGTCATGTTTTCAATGTGTTTGCTAATGATTCGTTCATGTTTAGTTACTAACTTTATAAAATGCTCTGTGTTTCAGCTTCTTTATTTATTTTTAATCACTTTTACTAATTTTTGAGAACTTGTAGCTGTTTTCAAATATTGTTATTTAGAATATCATGCTTGGATTGCTACAACCACTTGGTTGATAACATGATATAAATGCTATACGAACTTTTGTTTTAATTGTGGTATGGTTGGCTGATACGAACTTTCGTTAAGGGGTATAAAGCCTTATGGAGGCCCTCTTTGCACCCACCATGTTAACCATTTGGATGGAATACATTACCATGGAGTGAAGTGTTAGCATAAGGATGTAATTCAAAACTTAACTCCAGTATATGACCGAAAGAATTCATTGTTGCCTTAGTAGATGAAGAACAACAGAGTAATTCGAGAGAAAGAAATTTTTAACTATTTATAAATTATTTTGATTCTCTTTACAAAAAATTTATTGTCACGTCTTTCACATCAATAAAAATTAAGTGAATTTTGAATATATAAAGGTGAGTTTTTTATTATTTATCAAAAACTTGTAATTTATAAACTTATTTAAATTTTATTTTCAGAATTTAAGATTACACGTGATTGAGTTTAAATTTGAGCTAGTGATAAATAGTATCAGAACAAATTTGAATATTTATTGATGTGAAATCTCATCAGAGATAAAAAGTCGAGATAAACTTAAACTAATGTAAGAATCTCTCACAATTGAATGAGAGTTGAATGCCACATATTTCATATTAACAAGAGATGAGGTGAGTTTTGAATGTTAAATATATTTTTAGATTAAAAATATAAATATGTGATTTATAAATTTACTTATATTTATTTAAATTTTATTGTTTCAGAGATTGAGCTACTATACTCATGATTTAATCAAATGGTCTTGAATTTACCAAAATAATAAAAAAAAAAAATAAAAAACGAGTCAGTGGTGACAGTTACTGTACGCGAACAGAGTTGTAATTTTTGATCCGTGGCAGTTACTGTACTCGCGATCTAATGAAATGGTCTTGAATTTACCAAAATAATATATATATAAAAAAAAAGCACACAGGGAGAGAGATAGAGAGAGCCACTTGTGTAGGCTGCACGCAGGTGTGACAAAAACAAAAAACAAAAAGAAGGCGTCCACTATGAAACTGGACGGCGAAGGGCTTCCATAAAAGACAAAGCAGCAACAAAAAAAAACAAAAGAAAAGGGAAATTGAAGGGCGATTACCGCTAGGGATGGCTCGACCGACTGCCACGAGCACAACAGGCAGGCCGTCATCAACGACCTCCTCCGTCACTACCACCGTAACGATCGATAACTCTGGCGCCTCCTCGCAACCTCAAGAAACCCTCGTCCTCGAACTCCGCCCCAGGAAAAAGAAAGTTACGTGGAAAAAGGGGACCGTGGACAACGAGTTCATGAACAAGAAGAGCTCCAAGATCTGCTGCGTTTTCCATAAAGAAAAGCCCTTTGCTGACGACG